GATTATGATGATGATACAGAAAGGAGTTTTATCAATTATATTTTGGTTTTTGATATCATTTTTTTATAAACCGCAAGATGAAAACATTGCTCTTTTTCTGTAAGATGACCATCTTTATAGAGGGATAAAAATAGACTTTACAGTACTTCAGTCATACAGGCAAGAGAGGGTTTCTGTAGGTCATATTCCTTTGTGTTTTACTATTTCTTTTTTAGTACTTAATGCAATGGGGAAAAATAATATGATGAATACTGTGTCCTCATAGTCCCGCTAATTGGTAACTGAATCTGTATCTTTTAAGAAGCAGAATATTCCAATACTCATTAAAACATACCTACCGCAGCTAATGTCAGACTTGTATCTCCACACAATGACAAGGAGATGTAGTTAAGAAGCATTACCTACATACACTTCTTTTAGCATTTGCAAGTAATAACAAGTGCTACATTTTAGTTCAACAGCTATAATAAAATGCAAATTCTTTTACTCTTGCACAGACCATATTCAAATGAACACCCCATTAAAATCCAACCTCAGCTCATTATATTTAGTTTGTGAGTGATGCTTCTTAAATGCAAAGATTTCTAATGACTGTAATGCGTGCACAGCCACATTTGAAAGAATGGCTCTTTCCACAATGGCTATCCCCATCATCCCTCTGTGTAATAGAAGACGACTGTATAGAGATAATCTGGCAAAGAATGACATGCCAGAGCAATTTGAAACTTAAGTTAAAAGACATACTGGCATTTAAAATCAATTAAGATAGTGAAATGACGGTAACATCCATGCACTAATGATTTACCTGAGAATCAATTGTGAAAGCTTGAGTCATCAATACACTTAGATTTTGAACCCGGAAGATACAATATTCTATGAACTGCCATATTTTATCAACAATTAGACTCACATTCATCACAGAATTTTAATTTTACACCTCTGCCTTGTCTTATTTTGTTTGGTTCTTGGTTTCTCTTCCCCATGTCACTTTTCCTTCACCCCTAAACTAATGCCAGTGGATGTTGCTTACAATCTAAGCCCACAAGGCTAGATCACAGAGAGGAGTTGTGAGTTGTTTCTTTATTGATCTTGGGGTATATTTTAAGGGACAATTACAAAATCTTCTGCTTTTTACATCCATAACAGAGAACTTTTGATTATATCATCAACTCTTTCTAAAAGGCTTTTGCCACTCTACAGTGAATAAGGAAACATTTCAAGTGCTCAATAAAATGGCACATTTTAAAGTATGCTTTAAAAAAGAGTTACGTATTGTGTTATTTTTATGGTCCCTTTCATCTTGACATTGCAGTGACTCCATAGCCATAGTTCGTTTGTTTTTTTTTGTTTTTTTTTTTGAACCAGAGTCTCACTGTGTTGCCCGGGCTAGAGTGAGTGCCGTGGCATCATCCTAGCTCACAGCAACCTCAAACTCCTGGGCTCAAGCGATCCTTCTGCCTCAGCCTCCTGAATAGCTGGGACTACAGGCACGTACCACCATGCTTGGCTAATTTTTTCAATATATTTTTAGTTGTCCAGATAATTTTTTTCTATTTTTTTTAGTAGAGACGGGGTCTCGCTCTTGCTCAGGCTGGTCTTGAACTCCTGAGCTCAAACGATCCTCCCGCCTCGGCCTCCCAGAGTGCTAGGATTATAGGCATGAGCCACCGTGCCCGGCAGTTTGTTTGTTTTTTAGTGATACTTTATTTTATTCACTGTTTCACTGTTGCAACTTACGTATAACTGAATACTGACCTTTTTAAAGGAAAAATTTAGTTCCCTTTAAAAAACTTATTTTCACTTTTTTCTAAGTCTTTCAAAAGAAAGGAAGTGTGGCCCCTTATTATCTCATTGCTTATTTATTCTTGGGTACATTTTGTTCATTGAAACATATTTTATTTGGGACAGAAAGAACACTTTTTCATTACTGATTCTCTGAGAGTTCATAAAAATCTGAATAAATTCTATCTTGAATTGTCCACATCTAACTCTGATATATTAAAGCCCTACCGTAAAATGGAATTAAGAGAGAAGAGTATTAATGAAAAAAAAAGAGAGGGGCAAATAGAGTTTATCAGACAAATAATATTTAGTTGTAGAAACTTAAAAAACCCTTTTGAATCAATGTTATGAATAACATTATTGAGTTTATTTTATTATTTCATACATACATATGATTGACTCTCATGCACAATTTGGACCACCAAATGACACAACTAATTTTAATAAATTAAATATTTCCTCATTGACGTTGAGTAATTATTCTACAAATAGATTACAACAATAATTCACTCGCTTCTATGCATGCTAGATTTCTGATACTGGCACCTATACTTGTGTGGCTACGAGTTCAAGTGGGGAGACTTCCTGGAGTGCAGTGCTGGATGTGACAGGTGAGTTCTTCGCAAATTATATTAATAGCAGAAATCTTGAGCCCCTTTTAATGCTAGATCGTTATCAAATAAGTTAAGGAGAGATCAAGTTTCTTAATTCAGTGAATGTCAATTTAAGTCTGTATATTCAGTGCCAGTTTTTAATTCATGCATGAGTTTGCAAATAGAACTGCATTTGTCAAATTCATTTGTCCTTGATAATCTTGTTATTTTACTTCCTCTAAAGCACAAGCAATTCTAGCGATTATGTGTAAAAGTAAAGCTTATCTTATTAACATGTAGGAGAAGTAAGTATTCACTGACATATGTCTGATTCATGGAGATGAATTGCTTATAGCCTAGGTTAACTCCTTTAATAGACTGTTTCCTTCTTTTAAGTATTATTGTCAGCTTATGCAATCAGGAATGAAGTTTTTTTCTGTCTCTCCTCCGTAGAGTCTGGAGCAACAATCAGTAAAAATTATGATTTAAGTGACCTGCCAGGGCCACCATCCAAACCACAGGTCACTGATGTTACTAAGAACAGTGTCACCTTGTCTTGGCAACCAGGTACCCCTGGAACCCTTCCAGCAAGTGCATATATCATTGAGGCTTTCAGGTATGGGACAATTCCTTTTTTCTCCATTGGGTTTTTGCTTTAGCTCTTATATTCTAAAATATCACCTGAGCTATCCTGCTGTTATATTTTAAGGACATTTTCAATCAATGCCTTTTAAGAATTGATCTTTTCTCTCTTACTATATTCGAGAACAGACTACATTTTTGTTTATAACTTAATTATAAGATTAAATATGCATTATCCATGACTAGGTCTGTAGTGATATAGTTTATGACATAATCACTTAGCTCCTTTATTTTTACCCTGACCATTTTAGGGATTTAAGATGATAATTTGGGCATTAGAACTAAGAAGAAAATGATTTAATTAGGCACGGGCACTTTTTAAAGTTATAGAACATTTATTGAGACATGGGACTCTGGAATCTTTATCTCTAATAATAGAGCAGAACTTAAAATAATTCCATTTTTTAAATGCCATATATTTAAATACACCTATTGGATATGGCTGAGAGAAAATTAAAAACCACAATTAAGAAATTTATTCCATATGCTTCTAGTTGCTGAAACAAAAAGATGTTTTCATTCTTTCATTTCATTATTTGAAATAATTGTCATCAACTTAAAGATATTGATTATAAATATCGTTATAAAATTATCTTATGGGAATTTGATAAAATAATTATATATATGGGAAATGTACTTTCATATTCCATTTCAATGTACTTCTATTTAACATTATAAAATTTAAAGGATAGCCACTATTCTTTGTAAACATTAGGACAAATGATCATTTTCATTTTAGGCTTCTTTAATCTATATTTAAGGTAATGATAGATACTTAGTATTCAAATTTCAAAATATTATTTTTCTATAATTTTTATGCTTTGGTACTAAAGGATATCTGAAAAATAAGCAGATCACCCTGAAAAATCACATCTTCTGTTCCTTCTGAGCAAAAATAGCATCTGACCTTAAACAAAATGTTCTAAAATGGCATCCATCTGTGGCCAGCTGTAAAGGGGGCCTCACGTGCAAATTCAGAGATATTTCACCATTCTGAGACGAGAAATCACAATACTGTGTAATGTACAATTTTATTAAAGATGTAACCAAGGGAAAATATTCATTACATGCTTCCTTTCTTCTTTTACAGATATGTAGTTTTAGAAGGCTCTATTATAATATTGCATGTGGAATTGATGCAAAAGAAAACACACCTTGTAACAGGAAAATGTGTTGGCATAATTTACTCTGTAGTCCATTTATTCTTTCTACAGGTTAATTCTTTTCAAGGTATATATATATACATTTACGAGGACCATACTTATTGTATATACTTGATGTTGTGATCTTGGCCTCTGTTCCTTTTACAGGTATTCATTTAGTGGGCTGCTGTGCATTAGCAAAGGGCTGTCACATCTCCTGGGCTGAGTTTAATTTTGTTGTGCATGGCACTTTCGTTAGGTGGGCTCGGCTTTGTTGTTGAATAAACTGAAATCATCCAAATGTTTCATTTATTGGGCTGAACACTTCAAGTGTTGTGTGTGTGTGTGTGTGTTTAATTTTCAGCCATTAACCTTTGTCATTGAAACCCAATTCCATTTCTAATACTCCTATGCCTGTTCTTTAAATGAACTTTCTGTTCGTTTTTCAGCCAATCAGTAAGCAACAGCTGGCAGACAGTGGCAAACCATGTGAAGTCCACCCTCTATACTGTGAGAGGACTGCGGCCCAACACAGTCTACTTGTTCATGGTCAGAGCAATCAACCCCCAAGGTCTCAGTGACCCAAGCCCTATGTCAGACCCTGTGCGTACACAAGGTAATTTCAACAGCTGTAAATGTGACTGGTTCTAGAAGGAATGTCAGACAGATATTTAAGAACAAGGGGATTGCATGAGGAAAAGTAAATGTGTCTGCCTCACTCTTTATAATGATGCACTAGACTTTAGCCAGTGAAGAAGAAAGCTTATTATTCACCTTGGTGAGATGTGTCTTATTTCTGGAGCTTTCAGGGTCTATTTAGTTGGAAATGAACGAAATAATTGGGTACATCTACATAGTAAGAGTGAATCCTTTAACTTAAGGCTTCACTATGTTTCGAAGGGAGGAAAAATGTTCTTCCTTTTGGAAATTAATTATATAATAGCAAAAAAGTGTTCTTTAATGAATCGATGCCCAGATAAGGGTATCAAAATTATTTCCTATTGTTCATGAATTCTCTTTCTATAGTGCGGTGGTTTTCAAAGTGTGGTTCCCTGGTAAGCAGCACCTGTATCATCTGGGACTGTTAGAAACAGATTTTCAGGTTCCTACTCAAAAGCTCTGCGGTTGGGGCCCAGTGTCTGTTTTAACAAAACCTTCTTGTAATGCTGGTGTGTAAGTTTTACAACTGCTACTAAAATGTATTTTATTAAATCAGTGGTTTAAAGAGTAATTTGTTTCAGAAAGCAGGAAATCAAGTTTTCTTCCTGAGAAATGTAATTATTTGACTAATAAAAAAGCCCAGAATATTAAAATATAATTTCAAAATGGAAGATTTCATCATTTCATCCTTAGTAACCTTTCTCTTCAGAATAAGAAGTAGCTGGAGTCTGAGGTTAATGTACAATGCTACATTCTAATCTCCCTCCTATGAGTAGGTGAAGGAAATTAACAAAATAGAAATGGTAGTTTTATTATTTGTTATAACCTACTTCCCACAGGGTTCTTCAGAAAGGGTTAATTATTTCTTATTTGTAAAAGGGTTTGAACAAGATATAATTTAAAGTAGTATTTTTATGCAATGAAAAGCACCATACAGCCATAAAATATTATTATAATTACAATGTAGTTCAATGATAGTAACTAGCATGCTATTATAACAGAGAAGGGTGCCTTAAAAAAATCAAGTGAAATAAAGTCACCACGTGACTTTGTAACATTGCTGACATGATGACAGTCAAGGGAGGAGGGAATGCCACTTTGCTATTGTTCTCGAAGCAGTAATGTGATTAATTTTCCACAATGATAAAGGGCCTGTAGGTAAAGAACCTGTCTCAGGAGAAATAAAAAGCACAACAAGGAATTTGAAGATCTGAAACTAGTTATATTTTACCTTACCTAGCTCCAGTTGCTTTTAGTGTATCTGAATTTAATGAGCAAATTAAATTATCGAATTTGAAATGGAAGAGGTCTACAATTTTAAGTCAAGAAATTAGAGCATTTAGACCATTTATATCTGTGTGGATAGAAATAGTTTTTGTGTGTAGCTGCAATGTGAGGTAAAGAAACAGAATGGGAAGAATTTGGGCATGATTAAATCTGGCGAACTTTCTTGATCATTCAATAACTATGCCAGTCACTAAATCTTGACTCATAAAATAACTCTTGGTGAAAAGGTCAAAAAAGATTAATGAAAAGTTGTTTGTGATCCGGTTTGTTCCAGTTGAAAGACTGTATAGAGCAAAAGACTTATGTTCTCTTAACAGATATTTAATAGGAAAACTCATGGGTTGTGTCTGAATGTCAGAGTTATTTTTTGATACTACACTTTCAGCAGCTTTGCACTCTGTAGAACACTTTTTTCAAAGAGCACTTCACTTTGTGAGCTCTTATTTTTCAAAGGTATGAAATGCCACGGAATCTAGAAATCTTTTATTTCATTAAAGCTAAAAATGCTTGCACTATCAACATCAAAATAGATGGCACATGTATCAACAAGGTTAATATTATTCACATAAAGGGACTTTTTTTTTCAAATCAAGTAAAACTTCACTTCGCTGTTTATGTTAAGGATGAAAAAAGTGGAACTGAAAAAAAAGTCACCAGAGTATGGTTCCCAATCATTTATATCCCAATTTAAGATAGTGTACCCGATTTAAATTAGAGTTGAGATATGCACTTAAAAATACTTTTACAGAGTGCTGCATTGTGGCCTGAGAAAGTAGGAGAAAACAAGATCAAGAAAATAAATCATTTTAAATCGGACTTCCTTCCTTAAACAAAGTAGTTGGAGAAAAGCAAATTCAATTTAACATTAAAATGCACCAGTTAAAGAAGTTGATTTCACTATGTGTGAAATTCAGTGTTTGATATCAATCAGATGGACTGAGATGTCTGTAATTCATCATTTTTTATTAATGGACAGAGAATATGTGGGGCCATAGAGTAGTATTTAGGTGACTTGTGAAGAAGGAGGCATATCAATGTATGACTGAAGGTATAACATTTTAAACACCACCATTCTTTCTTCCCTCCTCTCCCCATCATTCCTAAAGAGCAGCTGCATGACCTCTTTCGGATATTGCAGTATTGTTCAAAATTTATTACTTTAGGGCATGTTATGAACATTCTAAATTTTTCCTTCAAAAGTATTTTTGTGAATTTGGGGAGCTCCTTCCTCTGTCCCCTCACACTGTGTTTACCTTTAATGACATGATTCACCTCCCAGTCCACCATTCCTCCCTTCTATGCTCCCAGATGGAAGTAGGTCAAGAAGTAAGAAAGCACAACCTACTCATTGGGGTGAGGGATTCAGAAAATTACTAAACAGAAATTTTCAGATATGTCCCAATTTACTACTTAGGAAAATCCTTCACTATACCAACATCTATAGCTAGCTGATCTTTCTAGAGAAATCTTAGAGCAAATAATTTATGCTTTAATAAGAAAATAAGTGATCTTATACAACGTCTCTATGTGAATGAGGGATTCTAAACACTCATTTATTAGTATGTTTTTAGGAAAGATAAACATTATGTCTCAAATTGTGCCCTACCATTATATTTATGTATATAAGCTTAAATGCTTTTTGTCACAAAAGAGTTTTCATTTTTTTCCCCTGTAACTAGCTCTAAAGGAGTAATATTGGCTTATATGAAATAAATAGAAATTTTACTACACTTCTCTAAAAATAGGGAATGACTATCTTATCCAACTGCAGATATCAGCCCACCAGCACAAGGAGTGGACCATAGACAAGTGCAGAAAGAACTAGGAGATGTCATTGTCCGTCTTCACACTCCAGTTGTATTGACTCCCACCACTGTTCAGGTCACATGGACGGTAAGTTTTCAAAGGCTATGTCAGTGGTGATCTCTTCTATTCCTTTAAGGAAAACAAAACAAAATGGAAAATGCAAATGAATAAACCAAAAAATAACAATAAAAACCCTCACCATTTAAAATCAAGGGTGTAATCAATGAGAGTAAAGGAAAATATTCAATAAATTACAAAAGTAAATGGAGTAAATATAGTAAAAATTGATTGTGATCTAAACATGACATGTCTTCTGAATTTTCTAATAGCTTTATTGAAATACAATTAATATACCATAGTTAAAGTGCACACCTCCATGTTTTTTAGTATATTTAGAGAGTTTTGAAATCATCTCTAAAATCTAATTTTAGAACATTCATCATTTCAAGGTGAAACCCTATGCTCATTAGCAGTTGTTCCCCCATTTTCTCCTACCTTAGCCCTGTGCAACCATGAATCTACTCTATGTCTGTATAGAATTGCCTAATTCTGGACTTTTCATGCGAATAGAATCATGCAGTGTATGGTCTTTTGCGTTTGGCTTCTTTCACTTGGCATAATGTTTTTGAGGTTCATCATGTTGTAGCATGTATCAGTACTTTCTTTTTATTACTGAATAGTATGCCATCGTATGAATATACCACATTCTGTTTATCCCTTCATTAGTTGATGGATTTCTGGGTTGTTCCCACTTTTGGCTACTATGAATAATGCTGCCATAAACATTTGTATACAGGTGTTCGTGTGGACATATGTTTTTATTCATCTTGGTATACACCTAGAAATTGTTGAGTAATATTGGTAACGTTCCACTTAACATTTTGATGAATTAGTAAAATGTTTTCTAAAGTGGTTGTACCATGTTGTATTCTCACTAGCAATGTTTCAGTGTTCCAGTTTTTCCCAAATCCTTGCCATTTTTTCTCACATCTTTGTCAATACTTACGATTATCTCACTTTTTGACTGTCGCCATTCTAGTGGCTGTGTAGTGGTATATCATTGTGGTTTTAATTTGCATTTCTTTAGTGACTAATGATGTTCATCATTTGAGGTCTACAATTTTAAGTCAAGAAATTAGAGCATTTAGACCATTTATACCTGTGTGGATAGAAATAGCTTTTGTGTGTAGCTGCAATGTGAGGT